TAATAAAGAAATAAATTCAAAAAAGATTTCTGTATAGTCGAGAATTCTTGGCTTACCTATATTACTCGTTATTTCGCTTTGTAAGAGTTTTTTAGTTCGTGTTATTTTTTTTCATTTTACGGATCGGGTTTACTACCATGCTTTTGTGTTTATCTGTATGTATTTTTCTTAACTGTAATAGATAGATATAAATAAAACTAATTGAATGTATAACATTAAGGCCTGCATTACGAGTGACGATGAAAGACAAAACTTTATTTTATAAAAGTTTCATACAGTACGCCATAGATGGCGTTAGTAGTAATTTAATTGACAATTTTATTACAAGATTAACAAATTAGATATAATAATTTGAAAAACAAAAAATCCTTTATTATGTATTAAAGTAGTTTTTATTTGTTTCACAGCACAGCAATATAGATAATAACCACTAGGAAGAGGCTTTTGACAAAAGTCCTCAGATTAGTTGGAATGACAAACTAAAAAGGAAACAGTAGAATCCGTAGGGGTTTTGGTAGGTAAACATCCAGTGATGACATAGACTCTCACATGCGCCAGGCATTTTGCCAATGACTAAAAAAAAGGTTGTACCGCGATGATTGCCGCCGATTGAAAGAGGTCTATACCGAAAGGTCGAGATATAGACCTCTTTCAATCGGCGGCTGCAGGGAGAGAATACAACTATACTATATAATTATTGTATCCAATTATACAGTTTGACACCCCTGTTAAAACTGTGGACGAGTTTACTAAATTAGATACAGACTTTTTAATCGTGTACATTCAAATCGTGGGGTGCAAATCAACTATCATTTCCGTCATATTTTCAATTTAAATGTATATGACCTTGTCAAAACAATTCGTAACAATTTAATGTTAACTTTAGAAAGGAACTGTTACAGGATAACTACCTAACTATCTTTTGAGATTATAAAGAAGATTATATAAGTGTATTTTAATTGTCAATCCCGCATCCGGCGATTTTTTCAATTGGAGCAGAAAATGTATAGTACAATTTTTAACTTTATTTTACGTTTCATGTTTCACTTGATTTAAATTTCAATTTCTTTACATGAAGTTGCATATACGTTCATTAAAAATGTCAAAGTGACATTACTGGCCCTAATTATGATGTCGTGGACTTGCCAAGTTGACGCGCTCGTCCTGGAGTTAAATGTTTAATGTCAAAAGAATTTATTCTTATAGACCATCCAATATAGATTAGCCGATGACATGTGTATCATGTCGAATTCAATGGGTACTCGTTTAACAGCTTTTAGCAAACTTATAAGAAAAAATAAGAAATAGTTATTAATAAAAGAAATCATAATTTTCAAGAATATATAACGTTTGAAATGAAATCTATTAGATGAGCTTTATAACATCATTTTCTTTCTAAATGTAATATATAATTATATTTAATTAATTTGGTGCTATACTGGAAAATATTACTAATGAAAAATGCTTTAAAAATATATTATTTGAAAATATTACTTTATCTATGATAAAAAAAAAGCATTACAATGAGAAATATTTTTCAGTTGACTCTATTTAAACTGCAATTTCACAATAATTAACTGTATATGCCTAAAAATTACGTTTCAATGTTCACAACTTTCTTGTATAAAATTGAATTAAAGAACTTTCAGAGATAATAAATACAGCTTTAAATCTCTTAATTACGTCAAATGTAAACGTTATCAATTCGACTGAATGTTTATATTTTGTGAGTATTTTTCATAATACCTCAATGTCCTTAATGAAAACTGCATAAAAAATTCACCAACCCCAGCTACCCATCCCATCTCGGGGTGAAGGTATTTTAAGGTAAAATATTTAAATAAAAGGTAAGATATTTTTTCAGTAAACTAAGAAAAATATTAAACTGTATTTTTTTCTTTCTTTCATTTGTTAGGTGTGAGGGACCAAGTGGATTATTTAAGTATTTTTCATTAAGTATATTTTTCTGTGTAGCATTGAGAACGCGAAATTGATTATAAGTTTTAATTATAAGATATAACAGTTTTTAACGATGGTTAAAAAAAATCATGTTAACTTTTCTTAGAAATAAGTCGCTTTTTGAAATGAAGTTTGCAAATAATACTGCTTTTTAATTTTCTCTCTGACCCTGAAGAATGAATTTCACTTTCATAGTTAAAACGATGAAAAAAGCCACAACGTCGAGATCAACTTTTGTTCCTTCTATTTAATAAAAAATATGTCCAGCAAATCTTCGTCTAGATCCAAATAAAGTTTCTTGGATTTGTTACCAACCTTTGTGGTTAGAACGATATATTTTTTGAAGTATTGTTTTTTGTTTATTCTTACAAATATGAATAGGACTGAAAATCTAATAATAAATAAGAAGAATAGAATACATATTACAATATAAGGTATTTGAATTAAATTAGTATTTTTAAACAAGATACTGAGACTTTTAATGTAAGAGAACAATGGAAAAAATCATCTTGAATGCAAAAGTGAATCTCTATTAATATTTTTTTTAATTTATAAAAGAAAAAATAATATGCAATAAATTTATAGGTTTATATGTAGTTCATTAGAAACGAAAATGATGTGAAATAATATGGAAGATATACCAATGTTTTCAAAATTTTTTGGACGGTAATTTCACTTGAAACCAAGACGTCATATTTTATCTGTCAGCAAAGATCACATTTTTATATCTGAAAGTCCGAGAAATTACCAAATCTATGGGAGGATGGTTAATATAGAAATTGATACGATATTTATTTTTTGGTTTAGCGACCTATAACAGTGGTAAATAAATCTCACAGAAGGTTATATTAAAACAAATCTACCGGTTCACATTTTTTTAGCAAAAATATGGTATTTTTTTTAGCTAATAAAAAAATTCAATTGTGGTTTGAAAAACATATAATGTACTCGGTCTAAGCCGTGAATAGAAAGCGAAAATGTTTTTTTTTTCTGCAACAACGTTGTAATGGAGCATCGTTACATGGTTTTATATATGTTCAAATATGTTATAATAGTTCGGAAGCTGCAGTGACGTAGAATTTCACCGCGAAGAAGCTCTTAGTTATTTTCCTTTGACTGTGTGCCAGCGGCTAACAACTGCTTAAATATCATCATCAACCCTTTACGTCCAATTGCAGGGGCTAAAGCCATCTTGTGGACTCTGGCGGATTGGAGGGTATTAACAACTGCAAATGCAGACGAGAACATGTCTTCCGAAGCACATAGTAAGTGAAGGCAATAATTTTTCGGTCTCCCATCCTATGACCGAACATTGCGAAAGTTGCTTAGCAATAACGATTGCGGGTCACGCCGTTTATCCACGGTTTTTCTACTTATGATGTGATTAATTAACTACATTCTTCCGGTTATTAAATTTATTAAGCTTGGCCGTTCAAATATAAAAAAGCTAATAAATAAATATCACGATAAGTTCTTAAAGAATATGGTAAAGGGTCGTAATTTTAAAGGAATCTATTTCTTTCGTCTTTCACGCCAGTATTCACTTAATAGGATGCTTAATAGGTTGCTAATGACAGATGATAGCTATTAAGCAGAGTATTTACAAAGTTGCCAATGCCGTTTACGCTTTTTCTAGTCCGAAGCATATTTATGTATTTATGTCTAGGTTCGTCCACAAATGGTATTTCAGAAAAACATTGAATTTCCATTGACTCCAAAAAAGGAGTTGTTAATAAAAGTATTTTTTAATATATTTGATAAATTTTAGATTTACAATGCTATACTGCAAAATATTCTTAATGAAATATGCTTAATAATCGAGTGTTCAAGACCCATCTCAGAGTGCCAGGGACAAAGAGGATTTTTTAATGCAAATTTTATTTTTATTTATTAATTTAACAAAGTTTCAACAGCAATTTTGTTATTTTAATACAAAAATTAATATGCAGTATTGACGCCAATTATAGAAACTTATTACGTTTACAAATCATATACATTAATTAATTATAATGAGGGCAGTTAAAAAAAAAGTTATTTGATGAAATATAATAATTAGAACAAATTTTTTAAAGTTTATTAAAGGTGGATTGCCTGAACATTTGAAAATACGCTCTGTAGCAGCGAAAAAGTGACAAGAGCTTGAAAAATTCGTCACCCCTGTTAGGTCCTAGGTAGCTCAGTGGATAGAGCAGTCGCCCGGATTGTGAAAGGTTCATGGCTTCGAGTCCCATCTCAGCCAGTGCCGAAGTGGATTTTTAAGCATTTTTCATTAAAACTATTTTTTTCTAAGTATGATACCTTTGCCAACAAAAAAAAGTTAAAATTAACGAAAAACAATAAATCAAAGACTTCAAAAGATCTGACTGCCTTTTGTGGCTAGGTTTAGTTATATGTTTTTTTACGATTGTACGCAGAAAGTTAATCCCGAACAAATATTCGTGGCTTCTGAGTATTCACTCATATAAATTGTATTTATAATAATAATACTTTTTTTTTTTCATTTTTTGCACCTATTTAAAATGTAATAAAATAATATTTTCTCTACTCTCCATCGTATTCCAGATAACCTATTCTATTTAAAATAGAAAATAAAAATGATATTGTAAAGTTTCATGCATGCAGCTTGACTTTGTATATGTTTTAAGTCGTTGAAAGTATTCTAATTTTATTGAGATTTACACAAAATGTTTAAATATATGTATGATATAATAACAAAAATATGAATATATTTTGAAATATAATTCATCACTTATAAATAAAAGTTATAATAGGAGTTGATTCTAACAATAAGTTTACTAATGAGAGTTGCAATACTTTTTAATGAGAGCAATGGTGCAAATGTTGATAAAAAATTTAGAAATACGTGTATATCCCGTTTTCAATTAATAAACAATTTAAAACTTGTGAAGTGCATAACATATATTATTTTCCAATATCTATTCGGACTCCATAGATTAATATGGAAACAATAAAATTGTTAGAGATACTGTTAACTTATTATTGAGATTTACTGCTTATATAAACAAAGATACTTTACATACCGTATATTTAATAATTCTTGCATTTTCATGTTCAAAATGCGTCTCCTTCAGGTTGACTAGTCGTGCACTTGTAACAGCCATTTTGGATAGGCGGGAATTTAGAAAAAGAATCTGTCACTTTTCGCGCGCAAACTGGCTCTCCCGCGTACCTCGGTAGGACTGCTACGAGATTCCGAGTTTGAATGGTTGCGAAATAGTGCAGTGCGCTTCGTTTTATATAAAAGCTGTTTGTTAAATAGATATAAGCGCGCCTCAACGCTCCCTTTCATATCCGCGCTATATAGACTATTGGAGTTGCAAAAAGGATATATAGGTCGAACCTTTGCCACGGAAATAAACTTATGAGTTAAACGCTAATTGACCTTTGCCTTGCATATTTTTTCCTCGTCGAGAAGAGTCTGTTCAGGCATCATTTGATGAATTATTTTGAACTATGTGTAATCCAAATTGAAGACTTAAGTTTTGTGGGATAATTAAAAAAAAATCCTAAGTAATTTAGACAAAATCACGTTCTGGTAATAAAATTAAGGGAAATTATACTGTTCCATTCTATGATTGTATTTTTTTTATATAAATTTTAAATCTTTCACGACAGTTACGATGAAAATTTTATAGTGTTATATGTTTTTTATGTGAAAATTTATCAATCTTATGAAATATTTATTTACACAAAGGTTTTAATAAAGTGTTATTTATTAAGTGGTTTTAATATAATTTTTTAAATTTTTATTTTCTTTTCCATTAATATATATACAAAAGGATTTCATGTTATGGTTCTCAAAATTAATTAGATTTTTAGTGAGAGTACCATTAAATGCTGCGTTATTTACAAATCCAACTATACATCTCTTTGTTATTAGACCCAGAAATATATTATCTAATGTTTTATCCTGAACCCCCGATTGTATTGTTAGAACTTTCACTTCAGCGCGAGTAATAAGATATTTAGCAGTAGTAGATGCCAAAACTTTTTGATGAGCAAGTAGGAAGGGTTAAAGGATTAATTTTTGTCCTTCGTACTAGAAGAGTTGCATAGGTTATGTTTATCTTGTACTTCACATCATCTGTTGAAACCATCAAATTAAACAATTCACGAGACCTAACTAGTTTGACACATTTTTCAACACTATAAGTCAAAAACTTTTCTTGATTAAATATATTACCATGAAGATTACCCGTCATTTCTAATTCCTTAATTTCTGATACTAGTTGTTGTATTTTAGTAAAACCTAAATTTTTGTCATCACTTGAATCCATCTTTCCAAAAGTATCCTCATACCAAATGTGATTCTTTAGCAACAGGTGAATAAGTCAATAAAATTTCAATATATGCCTTATACGCATAGGTATTTTTAGGGGGAGAACTTTTGGTTTAAATAAACATCAATTTTATTTGAGGTCGCTTCATCATCATCATTATCAGCCTTTCCTTACGTCCCCACTGCAGGGGCTCAGGCCTTCCTTATGGATGATTATGGAGGAAGGCCCATGATTCTCCACGTTCTCTCAATGTGGATTGAAGGATATTAACGACTAGGACTGGTGCCGAGACTGACGGTTCAACGTGCGTCACGAAGCACGGAGTAGCTTTAGATATTTTGGTAACTCATCCAACGATGTGGGGCCGCGGCAATGATCCCCTGTACGCCACCGAGCTACTTGTCGCTTATTAATTTGTAACTAAGCGCATACTGTGGTGAACTATGATTTTTTAAGTATACTTATTATTTAAGTTGATGATAAGAATGTAAGTTAAATTGTAAAAATGTTGGCGGACTTTAAAAAACAAAGTAAAATAGCTTTTATTTGATAGAATCTCTAAGTTCGACGGTGAAGCGTCATCTGAGATTGAAGAGCACTAATCGCACGCGCTTCATTAAAATTCGGACAAAAAACTGTAAAATCTTTAAAAATTACGACCTTAGTCGGCATACAACGAATTAAAATAAAAGCAGTATAAATGAATTTTAAAAATTTGAAAAGGCTTTACAACCTTCTTTTGATAATAATATTTTTACTGTATACTATCAAACATTATTCTCAGGAACGTGTATACATTCATCTCACACCTGATTTGTTAGCCAATTTATCGAATCATTGAAATCTAATAAGACATCGTAGTGTTAGATTAGAATTTCGATTTGAAACTGTTCTCACTCAAATAATAAACTACATTGTTTATGCAGAATTTGATAATGTTATTGAAATAGATAAAATAGAAATGTAACCGTTAATTATAGTAGCTAAGAATAATGAGTATTGTATTATATCAATTTAGTAATTATTAGGTTAATTTAGTAATAAGATATTACATCATAATATGTTTTTGTTTGTAACCTTTGATTATTGACTGACTACTATTGTATTAATTAAGTTAGTTTAGTAATAAGATATCACCGTAATATGTTTGTGTTTTGATGTATTAATAAATTGCTATTTTGAAATTGTGTTACGCTTTAATTTGAAACCCGAAAGTCTTTCATTTAAGTATTATATATTGAAAAGATAAGTTGTATTGTTAACCAAACATGAATACTTTACAAATACAAACATGTTTAAGAAAGATAAATCCAAGGTTTCAGTATAATGTGTATGCTGCGAACTATCTGCGATCTACTATATAAATCTATGTTTCCCTCCTCATAAGCAATTTGGACACTGATTCAAAAACAGGTTCTCACTGGATAGCCATACACATAGATGGACAGGGTGTTGATGAATATTTTGATTCATATGGTCGATTGCCTTTAGGAATGCACAAAACGTTTTTGAATAGAAACTCGAGAAAATGAACCTTTAATAATACAAGGATACAAAATGATTGGAATTCAGTATATGGAGAGTACTGTCTAATGTACTTATTATATAAATTTAATAACGAGTCATTGGTAGAGTTTAAAAGAGACTTTGACAACTATACCCTAAAATGACATATTGTTATTTAAAATATGTTCAAATATTGTTTTATTGAATATAAAAAAAGTATTAAATGGAAATCTTGTTTATATTTTATTTTTGAAACTCCAGTAACATATCAAAGGAATGTTGATGTATGACGTTGAAGGTATTTAAAAAAATTAAGCAACTACAAAAAAATATTTCACTAGATGGCAGCACAAATTGTAGGATCTGTCTGTTATGTATTGAATATAAAGCTAAATCAGAAACGGATAAAGATATAGAAAAACGGATCGCGCATATCGATCGGGTACCCTCTAAAACCCCCATTTTGACATCAAACTTTTATTTTTTGGATTGGACAACCCGACCGATCGATCAACCGACAGACCGACCGAGAACCGTGAGCCAAACCGCCGAAAAACAACTATCAGTACTCAGAAACGGCAAACATTGCATGACAAAAAGCCATGGAAATAGCGATTCCAGGAAATAAAATATATTATGAATGATTTTTTTATTAAATTACGTTATATTTTACCCATTTTTACAGAATGTTATGGTCAAAACATCAAAAAGCATTAAATACTAAATGCATAATACAAGAAACTGAGATCACGTAAAATTTTTCTTTTAATAAAATGAGGATAGATTCTTATAAACTATTCTCAATCTATATATATATATATATAGATATTATGGTTCTTTCACTGGAAAACCACTGACCAGGTTTTTATTATATCTATCATCTTAATGCTATGCCTGAATTAATAAATCGGCAAGTATAAGTAAGTATATTAATTCAGGTATATTATTATCCCACTTTAAAGATCCTTAGGGACCACGTGGGTGAAGTCGCTGGCGTAAAGCTTGTTTAAAATATAAATTAATCCGTACTTTTCAGTAAAACCATTATCTGGTATTCTGTTAATTTTAGACTACCACTTTATATGGTAGTTTCCAGCATTCAAAAGATCACAATGTCCAACCAGCCATGTGGTAAGAATAGATTGTTCCTTTTAAATTCGTCACGAGTTTAACCGTAACAAGTTTCAATCTTATCTCTAAAGGATTTACACACAAATTGCGTATTAGTAGCTACGCTATAAACAGCATAGCATAGTTTAAATGCTTACTTAAGTCATAACCATAACAAAAAAAAAAAAAAAAAGAAAATAGACGAAACTCACATATATTTCTTTTGTTTAAAATTTATCAAATGTGATAATTATAAAGGCACTTATAAGATTAGGGATCTTGTATAGACAAAACAAACAAGCCGAAACTCAACGGGGTTGCGTTATTATTTACAAAATAGCCATACCATTTTCAATTCCATCATCGGATTCTGGCTATTTTATTGGACTAAAGTCCTCGTTAACACAAAGTCGTAAAACCGATGAGTGTTTGTTTGTTAAATGAGTAAGCATAATTTTTGTGACAGAACTGCTTTGACTACCTTCCCATGCCGTTATAAGATCAGTTGCTCTATTACGTAACTGAAGCCCTGAAAGATCTGCAAGTCTGACGGACAAACTGTCATCAGACCAATTAGAATTGGTGTAGGATTGTACAGACTGACAGTCAGAACATTGAATCTCAGTAACGCGCATATGAATATTGTTCCTCATCCTCATCAAGGCAACCATAACCGCTCTGTCAAGATTGCCCGACTAAGAAGTCATCCAAATTGTATAAACACTGCACAATTGAAAACCGGTTAGAAAGGGTGAATTTTATTTAAAAGAATTCGTTTGTATACAAAGTGTATCTAAAAGCTCTTTAAATAATTGTATGTCTATATTTTTTAAACACCTATTTCAATTACTTGATATGCTTTTGGTGTGCCTAAACCTTAAATAATTCTCACTTGTCACTTTAATTGTGGAATAATTTTTTTGGTACTAGTTAGTAGCGAAGCTTGATCTATTTATTATGTTTTTCTATCAATACCCGTAACAAAAGTTAACAGAAAGCTTACTCAGAGATTATTATTTTTTCAATATATTCCATTTGTTCCCAATAGTGAGAATACACACATCAACATCTTATAGGTATATTTTGGATAAAAAGCCAAATTTAAAAAAATACTGGCCGGTTTTAAAATCTTTTGATGAAAATTTATTTTGTACGCCTTTTTTGATGATTCCAAATTTGAATTAAAAAATAATAATTTCGAAGAAGTGTACACGCATTTGTCTCATTGTTTCTTGCTTTTCTTTGCTTTCCAACCGTTTCATCCACCAATTCACACTAGAGCCAACACTTTCTGTGTTAGTCGACCTATAAG